AGGGCATCCGTCTTTAAAAAAATATTTACCAGTAGCAGATTAGTGAACATAACGGTTCCCTCCCAAATTGTATATACTTCTCCGAGGCTCCAAAATTGTGAAACGAAGCTCCCAGCGGGCGCGCGCGTGTGGTTGTGTGTGTGTAATTGCGATCTCCCTAGAGACATGTCTGTGCTGTGGTGCCCCGCTCTGAGCCTGTTCCATTTTTGTTTGCAGGTGAGTGTGGCGCTGGCTGCAGGGGGTCGGGCGCTGCTGTTGCGAAGCGCCGCTGCTGGACGCCGGGCACTGTGCGACGCACCTGCGGCTGCCAGCAACCAGCGATCAGCGTCATGGCCAGTGCACTTTGAACGTACCTTAGCACACTCCCGCTGCTGTTGTTGTTATTGTTTTTGTTCTCTAATACTCAGGCGCAAGAATATCATAATTCCTTAGATAGGACGCAACTGGAAATTCATTTACAAAACATCATAATAATATACACTCTGGAATTAATATAATTCACGGAGAATACAAATCATAAAGTTTGAATAGTTGTGACATCTCTTAGGTGAATGAAAAAAAATCCGAGTAGCGCGCGACCGTGAGAACTGAGGAGAAATACGGTTTCCCTGCAAAGCACTCGAGGAAACCCGATAATTCGTGTGAATCTCCACCTCCAACGCAGCTGCAGATGCGCAAAGCAGTAGCAAACAAAACGTGATCTTTTAGCGGTAGAGTGGGAGGTGGGGCAATCGCAGCCGTCAGCGGATCTCCCCGGGGCGGCGGTGGTGGTGGCGGCGGTGATGGGATGAACAGTGGCTGGTTTTAACCATTGTTGTAACCACACTGGTGTCTAGGGTCATGAGCGTCTCTGGCAAGATTTGAATTTTGCCCCCAAGACGTATTTTCTAGGAAGAGAAACAACACAAAACTTTGAAAGTATAATTTTCATTAAACTTATGTATATATTTAAGCATAATATTAGTTCTTACTTATTATTTAGGAAGAGCAACAATACAATGGTATTTCTTTCATTTAGGCATTACATTATCTCGTTAAAGGTCAGTTTTCGGTTTTTTCTGCCAATTTGTCAATAATATGGTCCACATGAATATTTTTTGCAATATTATAATCAACAGTGTAGCGATATTACTCATACGTTCTTGATCAATCTGCGTTCGTAAATATTTTTTTTTATTAATTTCATTTTGCTAAAAGATCTTTCACGGCTGTCAGAAGTTGCAGATAGCCTCAATGTTTGGCCAAGTGCAATGCCTATATTGGGATAACTGGTTACTAAGCCATATTCTTCATGACAATTAAGAAATGCAATGTCATCTGCGTTTTTTAAAATCAGGTAATAATGAGTTTATTTGGCGTTTGCAACTTTAAATCTTTAATCGCAAATCGCTGGCATTTAAACATCCGACCGTTGTGACAACCGACATCTGTTGTATTTCAGTTATTAATTATTTCAATTGTTGATTATTTCTTTTAAATCTGTAGAAAAAACATTTTTATCGAAAAGAAAAAACACACTTTCAAAGCCATCAGAATTGATCTAGATGTGACTGAGCAAATTTTTATCCAGCTCCAAAAATTTAAATGAGTGTCACGAATTGTTTTTCTTAAGCCTTTTATTTAGGGTTCGTACAGATTTAGTGTATTAACGTTGTAAAAATTAACATTTGAAATTTGTCGCAATGACACGCGTCAACACTTCGTAATCATTCGTACTTTAGAATTCCTTGAAAGTGGCATGAGAACAAACGAAAATTAATGATGTAGTACCCAATGCAATACACAAAATGGAAGTGAAACAATTGCCTAACGTAAGTACGACAATGGAATAAATGGAAGTACGAATAAATAAGTACGACTGGCGATGATAGTGGCGATGGCGATGGTGACGGCGACTGCCATGGTAATGGCGATGACTGTGATGGACACGGCAACTACAGCAGCGGTGATGGGCTTAGGAGGCAGAGGTTCAATGTACGGAAGTGGGTCAGATATAGTAATGACGTGCAGTGGCGGCGACTGTGGGAGGGGGAAGTGATGTTGGGGGTAGCAATGACGCGAAAGTGCAGCGTGTAGGGGAAATATCCGGGGAAAGAGGATATGAGGAGCGCGACGAGTTCAGAATGCTTCTAAAGTTTTAAAAACCTGAACCTGGAGATAAATTGCGTTGGGCAATTTTTGAGCGATTAATATTTTTTACAGTTAAGATAAAACAGATAACCGATCGAAAATATTCCTGAGGGGAAAGGATTTGCAAAAGGTGGAGAGATAACAGTTCGTGGCATCACTAAGGAAGAAATTCATTAAAATCAAAATATTGGGTATTCTCATCAAAAAGTTATCTTTTGTGTATAACTTAAACATTTATCTCCAATAAATTAAGAAAGTACCAAAGAAAACTTAGCAATGCGAAACTCTCAAGGCGGCAACGTAATATAATAGTGCATATTGTTCAAGATTCCTAGTGCGGAATCTTGATTCTTTGTCTGATATCTGATAACTGATCCATCGTAGGTGCAGCATCTATGGGCCACTTTACTAGCAAAATTGTCGATGTTAATTAAATGGATACGATGATTAGGCCATTGTAACGTGTTACATGTTCCAGCTCTTTCCCGTCCAATAAGAAACAACAAATTGACAATTCTATTGTCACGATATAATATTGTGACGTGGAATCGGATGGAACAATAGTGCTCTGCGTGATAACTGAAACCATAAAAAGTTGATAAAATCTTATCCTTGAGTCTTCAACTCACTGTTAAGCACTGCATGTTAATCTTCAACTTCCCATTTGCAAGTCTCTGTCCCTCTATGTCTTTACCTCCCATTCTAATCTCTTCCTCGCCATTACCTCTTCGTATTCTCTTCTCTTATTTTTCATTACCTTCAACGCGCATACTGTTGAAAAGCGACGGCTGGGAGCCCCACGTGACCTCGCGACCACATTGTCGCTGCAGACGACTCCTCCGCCCAGTGGGCTGTTCGCAGCGAGGGGGGAAGGGGTGGCGTCCGTAAAGGAAGTGGCGTGCGCCGCTTTTGGCCTTCGCCAGTGGCGGTCGCGCAGCCTCCGTATAAGGCGCCGCGCCGCCGCTGCTCCCGCTCTCCTCCCCCGCCTCTCCGCCTCCTCCTCTCGCCTCCTCCACTCCTCGCCTTCTTCCTCCAATTCCTCCGCTCTGCTCCTTCTTCTCACCTCCTCCTCCTTCTCCACCTCCTCCTCTTCTCCACCTCCTCCTCCTTTCCACTCCTCCTCTCCACTCCTCTCTTCTCCACCTCCTCCGCCTCCGCCTCTCCTCCCTCAATCTCCGCCTCCTCCTCGCCTCCTCCACCTCGTCTGCCTCCGCTCTTCCTTCTCCTCCTCCTTCCTCTCCTCCTCCTCCTTCTCCTCCTCCTTCTCCCTCCACGTCCTCTCCTCCGCTTCCTCCGTCGCTTCCTCCTCCTCTTCCTCCTCCTCCGCCTCCTCCTCGCACGTCTTCTCCTCCGCATCTTCCCGCACATCTTCTCCCCCTTCTCCTTCGCCACCTTCCCCTCCGCTTCTTCCTTCGCCTTCTGCTCCTCCTCCGCTTTCTCCATCTCCTCCGTCGCTTTCGCTTCCGCCCCCCTTCTTCATCCTCCTCCTTCTCCGCCTTCACCTCTTCCTCCGCCACCACCACTGCCTTGACCACCTCCTCTCGCAGCCCCACCCCCTACCACCATCGTCTCTTTTATCAAGCATCTATAAAACACTGATGTTGTGAAAACCGACATCTACGTCGCCTCCGAAGTTCTAAAACAGTAGAACGTTGCTAGAGACCGTATCTCTCAGCGAAAAGCATTCTTACCAGCATGAAGCGCCAATGCCTCAAAGTGTCTGGTGCGTTTCATTGGAGGTTTGGGACACTTTTATCGAGTGATACATTCTTACGTCTTGATAAAAAATCATGTCGAAGAGTAGATAATAATACGAATGTGTGTTAACGGCCATCAAGCAGATGATAACGAAACACCATAAATTCCTAATTTTTAAAAACCCACTTTGTTTATTTTCATCGTCCTTTTAATTAAACTCAGAATAGACTAAATTTGCACCACGGAATTATCAATGCATGAAGAAGACAGATTGAAAGTGTACTTTTTTGCATTCTAGCTACATAAATACAAAGATATCATCTCAACATTCTCTAGTTGACGGAATGACAACAATAATAAGACGTTAAACGGCGGAAGCGCAGGTTATCCAATGTTTGAGAAAAAAGTGAACCATTTCTACATGTTAATCATCGACCACGCCCCTCAAATCGGATTTGGGATTCATTCATTTGATATTCATTTGGGATCAATAAGTGTCAAAAAAGTCACTCAAAGACTGAACAGACAATAGCGTTCTTTTCTCTATCTTATCAATGTATCTCCTTCGCCACCAACGCCTGTTCTACCGCAGGGTTCCGCTGTCACCATCGCCATTGCTCTCCCCATCTCTGCGCTGCTGCCACCGACGCCGCTGCCGCAACCGGTGCGACCCGCACCGCTACTGCTTCTTCTACTGCTCGGGCCTGCCAAACTTCAACATTTGGCCCCCTTTCCGTTGGCAACGAGCAGACAAAAACCCTATGAGTTGGCGTTTTGTTTACTCTCGAACGCGATCTTAGACAACTTTCTAGAATGCGGGACGAGTCTAAACGAAGAACCCAACGGAATTGTACATTGTACAACGCCGAAAAATAGCGTTGGTGGATTTCAAAATCGTGAACTTGGTCGTAAGCCCGTCTATGAATTTCTGTAAATCCACTTCACCTTACACTTGCCTAAAACATTAACATTTTCTAACAATTGTTAAGAATTTGAATTAACTGGTAGTGTTTTGTCGGTACATATTTTTTGCACTATTTGTATTTTTTGCAATTTTCGAAAATGCAAAGTTCAACGAAAATTAGGCCTGCCCCATTTTTTAAGCATCTAAAGAAAAAAAAACAGAGAAAATTTTCTAGCCGTTGTGGGGAAAATATTAATTGCCTTTCCTTCAATTGTAAATATTATATATTTTGCTGTTTGATACATTACATTAGAAACATGCAATGACGAATTTTACTATATTTTAACTCTGGAACAGTATTTGATATACAAGAAGTGTTTTTAATGTGCCAGTAAAAGTACAATTTTTGTGTTACAAAAATTGTTTGAGAGTTCTTATACCAATTATTCATTCGTCAAATTTTTAATGCAAGTTTTCAAAGCGGAATGTCAACGGATTTCAATTATAACAAAATAATAATGTGAAAATTCTGAATATTTGAAACCATAGATGCCTCTACCGAAATCTGTACCTTCTGATAATGCCACTGTACAACTTGTGTTTAATAAGCTACAAAAAGACAACTATAAAACATGACGAGAAATCCAGGAAGCTTACGATTGTGTGTTACATTTGAGTACAAAATATTAGAGCCTTTTTATGACTTCGAGACTCCGTTGGCGCCGGCCAGAGGGCACGCGGGGGCAAATGTAAAAGTAATTCAAAGTCTGCCGTGGAGAGTTTCGAGGGGAGATGAAAATGGAGATGAAGCTCTTTCAACTGACTGCTTCACTTCCTCCTTCGCTGCAGAGGGAATGAAATTCCCTTTGTCCTTAATTCTCTTACACAAACATTATCTTGGCATTTCCTTTCTTTTTCGGCCTTCTCTGTTCTCTGGAATTGGATCTCTTTGAGTGTCTTAGACATTCTTCGCATACTTCCGTAAGTGTTGGGCGCATATCCTTTGTTTGATCATTTGCGAACACACTTTACAAAAGCAAGTGGCCCAACGTATCACCGCCATTTGTCGCAAGGTAGTAAATGAATTGGTAGATCAACGCACACGAAAAGGAGAAAATGCAAAAAACCAAAATGAGTGCCCACAAATATTATAGATTTAATCAAATATTGATATTGATATCAAAGTGTTCAATTGAATAGATGTCTCACGGAAAGACATTTTAACACATACATACAATATATCAACCTTTCAACGTAACAGCTACGTATAAACTAGTTAGTTGAATGTTCCGGTATTTTGGTTTTCTGCTAGTTTCTCGTCTTGTAAAATTAAGTTACAGTTAGTGCCGTTAAAACACAGGAACAAATTTTATTACCATAGTATTTACAAACGCTGTGTCATTTTGATGTACACTTTGTGACCACAAGCCAATTAAAATAGTTACCTTTAGCCTTTATAATTACCTAACCCTACTACAATGGAAATTGACGACTACTTGAATATAATAACTTATCACAAGAATAAAAATACTTCTAATTTGAACATTGTAATATTTATTTTGCGGTCTTTATACTAAAATCTGTTTTATTAATTTGAAGGGATAACTTTAATCATGAACGTTTTAGATTTTGATACTTTCTTTAGCAGGGCTTCACGTTGTACTGGGAGAGGTTCTTTCCCTTGCATTTCTGTTTGTAGGCCACCCAGGCATCCAGCCCTTGTTTTGCTGCAATGAGACGGGCGCATTTCGAGTCGTCGGCGATGTTGTCGTCTAACAGAGCTGGAAAATTCAGAAGTTATTTATTCAAGTCCTGATGAAAGTGAAGTAGCCAAGAATTTCCCTTTACAAGTTTCAACATAAATACTTTGTTTTGATTCCAAAATGACTTATCTTCTACTTTTGCACTGGCTGCTTGTTAAGCATGCCAGTTGTTTGTTATTGACAAGTTTTCGACAGTTGTGTTCACGTGACTTGCGATTCTAAATGCTTACATTTACAGCTGATGTTGCATCCTTTACCGCGACCTTTCTCACTGCACCAATATCGGTTGTTTATCTGTAACAGTAGATGGAATATTACATTTACTCAAATATAATTTTAAAGGGATTGTGACTTACGTCGATCATACTATATCACTGAATTGCATTTATTTCAGAATGTTCGGAAACGTATCTAACTTGTACCTGAAAAAGTCCGTAGTCGACGCTCCCATCTGTGTTATGGCGGTTGATCGCCCGCGTGTTGCCCGAACTCTCTCCCATCGCAATGCACACCCCTGGAAATAAGAGGTTCGTTGAAAATCAGCTAGATGTCGCAATGAATGTGCCCTTTTGATAAGGAATCATATTTTTAGTATTTTATTTCACCACTGTTTTCTCCCAGAAGAATTCTGTTGGAACGATACCTTTAATTCACTCATATATTGGGCTCGTTTAACATATTGCTTAGATCTTTGTTAAGCTAATGCGTCACAGCTCATTTAACTGACATGGTGAAATTATCCCCTTTCTAAATTGCTTGGTATATGAACGAGCTCAACGGTGAAAAAGCATAATAATTCAAATTGTTCAAAGAATTCTCACCCCATCTGAGAATTAAACTCTTGTTTTTGGTTTACACCAGGTTTCTCTAGAGTTGACTAATCATTGAGCTTACGAGACTATTCAGACTATGTTTGTAAGGCCTCATTCGTGGTTATTTATGTGAAATTCAATTATTAACCATTGAAGAAAAGCAACACAATTCTTCGAACAATTTAAATTATGAAAATATATTTGTTACACAAGGTTATATCATACAGAACATACTTCTGGTGAAATTGGTGACAGGGTGGTGGCAGTTAGTAAAAACAATTTATTTTCATGCGCTTGTTCATATGCTCTTGCAAAGGGACTGAAGGAACTTCCTTTGCAACCGTGTGTTTGAATTTAATAGCACAGAGTGCTTCACCCTTACTTCCTCTACATCCGATAAAACATGCACCTAGGCATGTCAACAAATTTCCATTTCGAATTTTAGAAAGTCGTCCATTAATATTCTTCATGGCTTTTATAGACTTAACTCACGGAGCTGTGACTCTTTATCGAACCAGAAGATGATTTGCTCATTCGGAGATCGTTTGCTCAAAAAATTTGTTATTTGGGCAGAGCTTTAACGTATTAACTTTGACGAAAACTAATGGTTTTAGAATACAGTGCCCATATATGTTTTAGAATTTTAGTGTTTAAGGTTCAGTTATATAAGAATGACTCTTGTCAATTTAGAATGGGTCTCTTAAGGAACATTCATTTTTAGTATCGACTTCGAGTAGTTTCCGCGAAGACGATCCCAAATATATCACGCCAAAATCTGAGGAATATGCCAAAGGGCCTCTCTCTCTCGGTGGGTTTATTTTAAGGGATGTTAGCCGAAAGTTAGTTTCGAAATTAGCTTGTAGTTAGTTAACCCCCCCCCCACTCCACCCAACTTCTGTCGCAAAATTCGATTACGTTGTGCACCCAAGACATCGCGAGCACTCACAGGTGGGCAGGTCCTTGCGCTGGAAGCCATTGCGCAGCAGCTGCGCGGCCACCTGGCACTTGCTCCACTTGACGCCCTCCGCGCCGCCCGCCGCCAGGAGCGCCACAGCCGTCGCCGCCACCACCGCGCCCAGCACCGTCAGCCTCTGCCGCAGCGCAGTCGTGCGACAGTGTTGGGAAAAGTACGCAAAAAACGAATTGGGCTAGATTACAGTTACTTCTAATTTGTAATTGTAATCGACGTCAATATTTAACATGATCAGGGTTAATTAGCAAAATTACATTTAAAAGTACAAGTTCAGGTGGGGATACATCGTTCGTGAACGAACTAATTCAAACGAACTAATCTTCGTTCGAGGTCCTGGGATGGAGCCAGGAAAATTCTCTTGTACCGTGAATAGGGGCCTCTCGATCAGCCTACTTTGTGAATTAAGTGAACTTACCCACACGTTAATTCTCGACGAGCGAGGTATTTAGTTATTTTCGCTCACAAACTAGGCATATTTAAAAAAAATAATGATTACATGCGATGTAACGATTGCTATAAAGTAACGATGGAAATTTTATATTAAGGAGTAAATAACGAATAAAAAGACATTCTGATAAAAGCATCGATTACATGCTAAAATGACTAACAAAGTAATCGTTTCAAGTAATGGAATTACTTTTACTCAATTACTCCCTAACGCTTGTTACTAATGATCGATGTTCAAAATTGAATCATCGATGTCAATCCATGATTGCTTCTTATTTTAACTTTTACAAAATTGTGATAATGGAAATTTTTCACTGCCAATAACAAAGTATCGAAAACGTAAAAACATCGAGAACGAAGCATCGATGTAAAAAACATAGCCATCGATGTTAGTCTCTGCCGCAGCACTCACTCAACGCACAATTCGATACTCGATTTCCACGTTTCGTTTTGACGAACGATTAGATTACGGGAGTTTTAACGAGCACACGCATGTGCACAGCGGCTGTGCAGCCCTAGGAAATGGCGGAGGCGTTTTCTGAAATTCTGAAATCGTCAAAAGAAAATGTGTAAAACGCGTCAGATTGCATGAGACATCTGTACACTCGACGACCTTAAAATGCCTACGTTAACCTGAACGTAAGCTGTCGAGTACAGTTATCTTATGCGAACTGTACAAACATCTGGGACGTACTACGAGAAGCGAAAAGTATTGTTTACTGAAATCAATGAAGGAAGGAAAGGTTAATGGGACACGGAACCTCGACAGACCTACGATTTCACGGTTGACGCAAATTAGATGACGATTCAGCTGCAAGGCAACAAAAGGTTTTCGTGGAGCAAAGTCTAAAGTACAAATAACTGTGTCGATCTCCAACCTCTACTTGGAGACGGCATCTGAAGGATGTGATGATGATGATAATGATGATGAAGAACAAGAAATGTAGCGAACGAACGTTCCAGAGAATTGCATATTCAGTGAAATTGTTTATTCCTTATTGTCGTGTGGACAATATTGTCAACTATTTCATGAGCGTTAAAGAGATAAAAATTGAATAGATAATACACACATAATTAATTATTAGAAGTGATGGTATTAAATTTAGAATGGAAAAATTGTGTTCTATGCGAGACATTTAGTAGATGAACTTGCTCTCAATACCTAGAAACATTCAAACTGAAAAATATCTAGTAAAAGTTTTTAAATTGAAATAAAAATACTACTAAACAATATAAAGTTAAAAACTTACCATTGCAAGTCTATTAGAAGTTCCCGTGCTCGTTACTTCGCCACAACCGTCAAGAGCTTTGTCGCATTGCTAGTCTACCGATTATTTATATCTAATACGAACTAATTGGGCCGATCACGTGATACCGATTGGGCAGCCTATGGCGCAGGTGTGGCATCCTGTCGCGTGAATCGATGCGACCCTAGAGCCCTTCGCTTTCCTGCTGTTCGCCCCGGAATACCCGCGCGGCGCCGGAAGCCCCGGGGAGCCGAGCCCCTGCCGGACGTGGCGGTCGCCGCCGCCTTCGGAAGCTCCCGTCGCGGCGCCTGCACCGCGGTTTTTCCGGCCACCGGTGTTTTCCGCAAACGTTTTTTTCCCGCCAGTGTTGTCTTTGTTAGGTGATAACATGGAATTACTATTGTAAGTTCGCCGAGTTTCTACCATTTCGTGATATCACGATCTCTTTGCGATGGGTGAGGCTCAATCACGGGTGAGGCGAGAATTGTAATATCACTGAAAATACCGTTCAGAATACGCGAATGACTGATAACTTTCCTTCTAGGTACTGTGTTCTCTTTTATTTAGTACCTTCACTTTAATTAGACTATTAGGTACGTAATTCCTTTGATGTTAGTACACTCTTTTTCAAAAATATTGTTATAGTATTAACGTTTAGATGCTACCCAAAAATTTTAGCCATTCCAAACAAGAACATTAAATGTCTTAACGCAAAAAGAATCAGCAAACGGTCTGCAATTTCATGTTTCATGTTGAGTAGTAGTTCATTTACAAAGTTCCGAGTTAAGTAAATTTGCCAGTGAATATCGCTGATGTTTAACAACGCCATGTCAAACACTCGCGTAAACCCTCTGATGCTGATTTACGACTTCAAACCTCAAAGACTTGCCACTCCGCTGTGCGGCGTCAAGCAGCTAAGCTAAGCAAGCGATTAGCTCTCTACCTTTGCTACAGTCTGTGGCACTGTCACCGCTTCCAACGCCCTCGCCTCCTTCCTGACTTTCGCCGCCTCCTACGCCCCGGTCTCCCTCACTCCTCACTCACATTCTCACTCTCCTTTATCTTC